AGGTCCACTTCAAATTATAACGGCGCCAGATGGGCGTATACTAGTCACAAGCCGTAAAGCTAAGAAAATATACATACTGAAGTGAATGTGTTTCTATTCTACAAATCATTCAAATGCTGTATGTAAGCGAAAACTAAAATCGAATCATTTTTAAGAAGAAATTTCTTCACAAGTGGCAGAAACATTCAACAGTGTAAATGCATCTTTAGCCCTAAAATACAGAAACTAAGGGGAGGGGGGCAAGCAAAAAATTGGCCCATGACCCATACACCGAATTCATAAATGGTGGCCGCGCGGAAAGGCCTAGTTTCGAATACATGAAAACGAGGCTCGAAAAGTATTTATTCAGTTCACTGTGGCGTCATCTTCGGCAAGTTCGTCGGATAGCGTTGTTATTCTCACAGAAGACGAAGGAATTACTCCTTCAAAAATTAAAAAGTTCTTGACCTTTTTAATAGCTCCGACATTCCCAAGAAAGGGGGTATATCGAGAGAGATACCCAGGGGAAGTATGTCTTCAATGGTGAAACCCTTTTCAGCCATGATAGAGTCCCATGTAGAAAAAGGGAGGTTTAGAAAACCACTGCGCTCAACCATTTCCCTGTCTGATATGCTGGCTGTGTACAACTGTCCAATAAACGAGAAGGACCCCTTGGGTGAAATTTCTTCTAATCCCTTCAAAGAGGTATGATGTTTATAAGAACTAAACAGTTCACTAGTTAAAAGAAGACTACTTGGAATTCCGCTGCGAATCTCTGTGCACTCAATGATCACTCTTATTGAAGGGTACTTAGCCTTGAAATCCTTTGGCATTGTCTCATCAACAAGTTTTCTGGATGGCCAAATATTTAGCTGGCCAAGTTTTAAGTACATGAAGTTGATCCATGTAATTAAAATTCGACTGACAGTCGACTGAGGAATTTGAAATAAGTTGGCTAGATGTTGTTCAGCAAAACGTTGTCTGAGTCTACAAATTGTGAGAAAAAACTCGTCTAACGGTTGTAAGAATCTTGTCCTTCCCTGTTTTCCTAATTTATCATTATTACTATTAGACTTGACAGTCTTTTTACCAGATAACCAATAATTGATATTTTCTCCATTGGTACCAGGGTCCAGGAATTCAAATAAAGCCATCATCGTTTAGAAGTTTGGAAAAACAGTGTAAAATGTTATAAGTGAAGTGTTTGTTTTGATATTTTCAAGTGAAAGCAGTGTTACGCATGTCTCATTTAGATCACAGCATTTTTCTTCCAAGAACGAAACCTCTTCCTCTAATTTCTTGTTCTTGGATAACAATGCAGCAATCTGGTCTTCTAGTTCATAAATTTTGGTATCCTTCACGGATTGACGCTTGGGGAAATAAGAATCTGGTTCTGTCACTGGAGGTTGTAAATCGGTCGTTGTTGTCGATGAAAATGAAGATAATGGAATTACGATAGAAGTTCCAACAGTTTCTAGACTTCCTTCCTGCAGCTTCTCAGTCAAAATTTATTTCCTATTTGTCAAACGAGGAGTAGGCGGAGGTCGTTTTCGTGAAGAACTTCGTTTCCATGCAAAAATTGAGGGCACTACTCTCGGCTTTTAAGACACCTCGTGCGTTAGAGTAGTCTTGAAATCTTCAGCCTTAAAATGCCTTGAGAAAACCTGGGTGGAATTTGATACAGAGAAATTCTTCCCAAAATCCCTTGTTATTGCGTGAATCCACTGTTTTCTCAGGTTTTCTTTCTGAGTTCTTATTCACAAGAAAAGACTTCTTACAAGGTTTCAAAACTCCCAAACTTTCATATAGTCTCCTAGATATTCTACCATGAACAATAATAAACAAAAGAACGCCAATATTCTGGGTTTGAAGTACCGTGAAAAGCATCTCGATATAAAGTTGCCCTTTCGTTGAGAGGCTATTTCGGCCTCGTTTTCATGTGTCCCGAGAGGACGCCATTTATGAATTCGGTGTATGAGCAGTCAGACACATAGAAAATTATATCTTTCGAAAAGGAAACTTGAACTAGTCTAAGATATAGATTTTACTTTTCTTCGTGAGGTCTGCTTGTCTTTTCTCGTAACCTCTCTGCAAGATAACATTTTGGAATCATAAGGAGAATTTACACTTCAATCATCTCTTCGATTTTAAGGTTGAAGGCTCTGGAATTGAGATCTAAAGTACCCAGGTCCTAAGTGTCCACTCTGGCGTTCCACGAGACTTATTTCTCAGAAGTCTTAAAAAACAACTTCTTGCCTGTGTTCTGTAAACAACCGACTAGTTTGCCTTGCGGACTAAATAAGATGAACTTTCCAACAATTTTGATGATATTTATGTCTATAAAACATATCAAACTAGCGATAAGGTTCATTTGTTGTCCTTTTTGTTCCATCTACCAATCACAATAAATTGATACACTGTACATTCAGTCTCAATAAAGCTTGGAAGCAAAGGTATTTCATTTTTTTGCTTTGGTAGATGGTTAGTTTAGGTGAATAACAATATGTTAAATACTTGACTTCTACTCATTGCATGCAATTTTAAGTTAAACTCTATTAACCCTTAAAAACCTAACATCAGTGTGCAATTTCTCTATACTCTTCTCTTTAAATTTCCTAAGGTGCTGCCATGGAGAATTTGTTTAACAATCTAGAGTTTCTTTCATTGGTGATCATTTCCTTTATTCTCTTTACCTTAATGTCTAATTCAGGGGTGAAATTGTTAAGAGATATTAGATACTAGTAACTCTTGGGGAAGAGGTTTAATTACTTCTTGCTAAATTCATTTTCAGCCTGTCTGAATTTTCAAATCACAGCATAAAAACATTTCATCACGTAGGAACTTTCTGACCCAAGTTTGGAAATCAAGGGAATCTAGATGGATACTTAAAACAGACGCCATGGAATAAGTGACGTCGGCTCCTAGAATCTTTTCTTTTTGAAACCATTGGACTAACAGAATTCTATCAGCAATTTAGTTTAGTTGGTCATTTTCTGAGCCGAAACATTTGATTACTATAAGTAATCCACTAGTCCAGATGGGTTCAGACACTATTTTTACTTTTGGGTCAATGGTTTTTTAATTTGTCTTTTCACGTTTTTTTGTTTTGTTCCTTTACATTGGAGACATCTTACACAAACAGTCTTTAGAGAATAACCTGTCGAGAACGACCTTTTCTACAAAAAATTGTTCAAGCAATAATTTTATCAACAAAAATGTTTCGGGTTCACAGGATTAAATGTATTTCTCAACAAATTGTTTGTTAAGAAAAGCATATTTCAAAGATTCGTTGCTTGTATGTAGACTGCTTAAAGTTTGTAAATTTAGTCCTTCACGAACGTGGAACAATCTTAAAGATTAACTCTTACAATAGACAGAAAATTCATAAAAAAAGAAGTGGGGGAGGGAAAGAAGCTTTGAACACATTTTTAAGAACTACGGAGGGCGATAATCTCGTGAAATGATCAATCTTTCAAGCACGTTTTGCGCTGTTTCACTTTGCTTATCTAAATCTCTCCCTGCCATGACATCCTGAAGTTTTCCTTTAAGTAACAGGCCATGATTTCTTTCCTTCTTTTAAATAACACATTGACAGCTAAACCGCCCGTAACCGTCCATGCCGCGCGGTGGACTCGTGAGAGAGACACTTTTCCCCATACCTCCCCTACTAAGCAGAATTTTGTCTCCAAACTTCCTATGTTGTTAAAGAATCTACAAAGCAATCAGTAACTATCTTTTGCACCGATATTTTAATCCTTTTGGGGTGTAACAGAAAAGCGTCATTTTAAGCGTTCACAAGAAATGATAAAATATGGAAAATTGCCGTCCGCGCGTCCGTCTTCAATATTTTCAAGTCGGATTTTCCGTTATTTTCCGATCATGATAGACCTTCTGGAACACAAAATGGAAAGCAAAAATGCTGTAGAATACTTTGCTCGGTAACGAATGGACATCGAAGTCTTAAAAGTCAACAACACCACTGAGTCAACAACACTACGGTTCACTGACGCGATGCAAATCGGGGCCGTACTTTCCGGAATTTCAGGCGAGGCCTCACGACATTATGAAGATTCCAAGGCCCGGTAAGTATTATGTTTCGGTAAAGGGATGTCCAAAAAGTATCGTGTAATCGAAGATTTTGAGTCAAAAGGTAGAACTTTCACAATTTGCAACTTAACGCTGCGCAATTTTCGAGCCGTGAAGTCAAGTAAACAACGATCTAAGCATGATGAATTTTGTGGGTGTCGTGCACATGAGAAATTCGCACCTTTTTTCGCTTTTAAAAGGAAATTAAGAACAGATTAAGTACTGTTTTGAACGAAACTTTCATCCCGAAACGTTCCTTGGCCACTTCCGTCTTATTTATAAAGTTCATGTAACATGAGACCTTTTCAGATACTGACAAATTTGCATCTTCACTTTTAAATCTGATCCGCGTACTGTCTCCACTCTTGCGAAGACATTTACCGATTCTTATCATTTATCTTGATCTTTAGAGTAAGGACTTAAATGCATTTATCGCTTTTTTTTTTTTTGTAAAATAAGTTATTTAAATTATCTTCTTTCACTGCAGCTTGTTTTGGAGAGAAGAGGATTTATGACAATTTACTGCGCATCGTGTTTGCTTTCCCGGTTTCTCCAAAATTTTAACTTTTGGATAGGCACGTGTTACACACCGGTGTCAATGATAAAACTCAAACAACGGATTTCTATATATAAAGCTATTAGTCTAATACATATTTATTTCAAAGACACAATAGATAAACAACTTAACTTTACAAAGAGATCAACTAAGCCAAGGAAAGTGACAGGATAAAAGTAGATCAGCGGACACGGACTTCGTTTTGTTTTCTAGGAATCTGAAACAATGGCTGTTTGTTCCAATTTATTTTTAAGTAATGTCTGTCCTTATGTAAAGCCACCAGCAAAATTGCTTTTCATGAACGGGGCATCGATGAAATTTTAAGACTAAGACGGACAATCCAACAGCAAACGACGGAAATAACAAACGAGGAAATAACAGACGACGATGCAAAAAAAATTCAACTACATCCTTGAATGTGATTGGTCATAAAAACTCAGCCGTCACTGACTTTGTTCTGTTTTCTCGGAATCTGTTTGTATTCGTCGCTTCAACAATCTGTTTTTCAAGGCCATCGTGATGGAACCTCTCGTGGAAAACCTCAAGAAACAACTCACATGTTCAATTTGTCTCGAGACCTACACAGACCCGAAAATAATATCGTGCTTACACACTTTTTGCTGCAAGTGTTTAGAGAAACATGCCAGAAAAAACCACAGACAAGGCAAATTCAGATGCCCTGAATGTCAGGCAGAAATCGATTTACCAGAAGGCAATCACTTTGACCGTTTGCAAACCAGCTTCATCCATAATAGTTTGTTAGGTCTCCTTGAAACGGAAGATCGCGAGGCATTGCTGAAGCCGCCATTTTGCTCGCAACACAAGAACGAAAGACTGCGATATTTCTGCTCTACCTGCGAAGCGTGTATTTGTCCTGTTTGCTTAGCCGAAAACCACCGACGCCATAAATTCGACGTTATTGAAAAGGTAGCGGAGGAGGATACGAAATTCATCATGTCGAATGTCCAGACCATCAAGGAAAAGGAAAACTTGTTACAAGAAGAGATAAGGAAATTTAAGAAAACCTCTAAGGATGTAGAAATGATTATCGCGATTGCTAAACAAGAAGTGTCTAAGGCAGCTCAACACGTGATCACAAAGACGCAACAGCAAGAAAAACAGCTCTTAGAGTCCTTAGAAATGACGCGTAGAAAGAAAATAGAGCAAATTAACCCGGCTAAACAAGAACTGGAATCGCTGGTAAAACAAATACACCAAGCGGCTCAGTTTGCGGAAAATCTCGTGCAAAGAGGCCCAGGCTGGGATATTATAAAGACCAAGACAACTTTGAAGCACAAATTTCAAGAGCTTTGTGGAGTTGAGATTTCAAGGCAACATCCAACAACATTTGTCAAATTTACCGCGGCATCGCAACAAGACTTGAAACTGGGTTTTATTCAACTCACCGAGAAACCGGCAAAAGCAGCTACATCAACTGTAGAAGGACTGGATCAAACTTTCCAGGCTGGTGTAGAGGCAGAATTTACGTTATGTCCAAAAACTGCAGAGGGAGAGATTTGTAACCAGGCCGATCTTAACGATCAAGTTGAATTGCTGATAAAACCCACCAAAGATGTCACAAACGTGAGCGTTGAAGAAAAAGGGGAAGGCAATCTTAGGCTGAAGTTTACACCTGAAGTGCCTGGCGCCTACGACGTTGAAGTGAAGATTAATGGCGAAAATCTTCCGACCTCTCCGTTCACTATACCAGTGGAAGAACATCAACTTGTTGTAGTCGGTGAATTAGACTTGAAGTTCAACCAAGGGCAAGGGTTCAAGGGACCAATTGGAATCGCCATAAATAAGCAAGGCGACATAGCTGTTGCAGATTATGATGGACACTGTGTTTTTGTATTCAATAAAGAAGGGAAATGTTTGGAACAATTTGGAGAGAAAGGAAAACATCCTGGACAATTCACAAATCCAGTTGATGTAACATTTTTAAACGACAAAGAAATTCTTATTGCAGATCAATTCAATAATAGAATACAGCACATAAATATCCAGACAGAAGTTGTTGTAAAAACCTTTGGAAAAAAAGGTGAGGGAAAAGGAGACTTTGAAACCCCACTTAGTGTTTGTGTTGACGATACAGAACGTATTGTTGTCACTGAATACGATAACAACAGAGTTCAAGTAATGTCAAAAGAGGGCGAAGCTCTATTCACAATAGGAGACAGTGGTCCAGAGAAACTCAGCACACCATACAGCTGCATTCCTTACAAAAACATTTTCCTGGTAACTGAAAGAGACAATCACGTCATAAAAGCATTTGATGCGTCAAACACTTTTCTATACAAGTTTGGCAAAAAAGGGAATCAAGAAGGACAGTTCAACTCACCCCGTGGCATGTGTTTAGACGGCTCCAAAAACCTTCTTGTTTGTGACTCAGACAATAACAGAGTTCAGCGATTTTCTTTGGACGGTCGCTTTCGCGGCAAAACTACCGTTCCTTTACAAAGTCCACTGCACATTGTAACAGCGCCAGATGGACGTATACTAGTCACAAGCCTTAAAGCTAAGAAAATATACATACTGAAGTGAATGTGATACTATTCTACGAATCATTCAAATGCTGAATGCCAGAGAAAATTAAAATCGAATTATTTTTATAAGGAAAAATTTCACAAGTGGCAGAAACACTCAACGGTGTAAATGCATCGTTAGCCCGCGAATACAGAAACCAGGGGTAGAGGGGTAAGCACAAAATTGACTAATACACCATGAGCAGTCGGACATATAGGAAAATTATCTTCAGAAAAGGAAACATGAACGAGTCTTAGATAGATTTAACTTTTCTTCGTGACGTCTGCCTTTCACTTTCTTTTATTTCGGGAAGACACAGCCATTATTAGGGCAAAGAACTACCATAGAGACATAATCAATCGGAACAGCACACTCCTGTGCCTTGCATAAAGGGGTTTTAAGTAGTTAGGTAAAAATATTTTATGGCTTGCTCCAATGTTATGTGATTGGACGTTGCAGAAAGAGCAACGCCAAGTGGCTTCACCCTTTAACTTCAAAGATCCAATATGTAAATCTCCCCACTGACTGCCATACATCCAACAAGAGAATTTGGCATTACATCAGAATAATACCCTCAGCTGATAAGCTTGTCTTTTCTCATAACCTCTCTACAAGATAACATATTGGAATCATAAGGAGAATTTACATGTTCATCACCTCTTGGAGTTAAAGGGTGAAGCCACTGGAATTGAGATCTAGAGTTCCCAGGTCCTAACCATCCACTCCATGAGATTTTTTTCCCAAAAGTCTTAACCCTTTAAATCCCAGATCAAATTTGTAATTCTCCTTACTGAAAACCATACAATTCTTAAGATGATAGTTCAGAGAATTTAGTATTGGGTCAACTAATTATCCCCAAATTGATATTTTTCTTTATTCTCATCTCTCACGTGGTTGACATTGTATTGATATTGTAAGGAGAAATTCTGTCTTGGTCACTCGTGGGAGTTAAAGGGTTAAAAACAACTTCTTCCCTGTGTTTTGTCAACAACCAACTAGTTTGCCTTAGTGACTAAATAAGATTAACTTTCTCACAATTTAATAATATTTATGTTTGTACAATGTACTCTTTTAGCTATCAGCTTAATTTTCTGCCCTTTTCATTCCATTTACCAATCATAATCAATAGATACACTGTACAGTCCCAGTAATTCTAGGTAGCAAATGTAATTTTTTTGGGGAAGATTTTTAGTTTGGGTGAATGAAATGTTAACTGAAGAAATATGTTAAATACTCGACTTGTACTCACTGCATGCAATTTTAAGTTAAACTCTAAATGGTGCACTGTAAACAACCAGCTGGTTTGCCTCCAATAAGTTGAACTTTCTAGCAATTTATATAATATTTATATGCATGTTTATATGATATACCCATTCAGCACTCAGGTGCATTTGTTTTCAATCTTAATTCCATTTTACCAATCACAATCAATTGATGCTCTGTACATACAGGTGGTAATTCTAAGAATAAACTGTACTTCATTTTTTTGGTAGTTTTGTAGTCAGGATGAATAAAAATATTTTAAATACTTGATTTATACTCACTGTCTATAATTTTCAGTCATACTTTATTCAGGGCTCATTACCAAATTAATCTTCAGTCTGTATGAATCTCTAAAAATGTCGATCCTATTTTCCATTGAGACAATCACTGTACAAAAATATTTGATCATTCAGGAACTTTTTCATACAGGTTTGGAAAATAAGAGAAATCAAGATAGACACTTCAACAGATCTGATTGTATGAATTGGTCAGCGCCAAAAATATTTTTATCTGAGACCATTGCAATGACCATTCAAACCCTTAGAGTGACCAGCATCTAATTATGCCC